TAAGTATTTATTATCATTAAAACATTTATAATCAGTTTTAAAACATACAAACAAGATTTTTAAGATCATGTTTTAAATAATTTGCCATCCCTAGATATATTTACTCAAAGGTTTGAAAAAAAATTTAAAATCTAGGGGGTATAAATAACAAAATTGGGGGGGTACGAATATCGAGCTGTCAAATTTGGCGTTTTTTGATATAATTTTTTGGTTCTTGAAAAAATTTTTAATGTTTATAAAAATTTTTATAATTAAATTTATTCTCAAATGTTCTCAAAAAGAGAACATAATTTTTAACTTTAATGTTCTCAAAGTAATATTTAATGTTCTTTGAAAATACTAAGAATATCAGATATTCTTCACTGCTTACAGGACAAAATTTAAACCAAAAATGTAAATTTGATTATTTATTGCAGTATTCGTGACTAAAGAGTTTTTTATTATAATTCGATTGAAAATATTAAAAAGTTCTCTAATAATTTTAGCCACCGGTTGAAAAAATGCTGTTGGTTAATTAGTTTTATAAAAATTTCTTATGTTTTTATGTATATATATACAGCGTGTGCTAGGTAACAAAATTGGAAAAATAATCTAAATTTCGATATTGTACTGTATTAAAAATTTAGAAATCAGTTTAAACATATAATGCAGTTTAAAAAAGTCATAATTTGATATTTACTTGATTATTTAAAACAGAATAATGGTCTGTATAACCATTTATATGTGCTTTATGATACTTCCATGCGGTGGCAACAATGTCTTCGATTGTATTATACTTTCTCTTCCAACCAAGGATCTGTTCTGCACGCGTAGATCCGGCGACCAATATAGCAGGATCACCAGTTCTACGAGTCTCCATTACATCTGGAATTGGATGACCAGTAACATTTCTAGAAGCATTTATTACTTCTTTGACTGTATATCCTTCTCCAGAACCTAAATTAAATGATTGTGATTTGTTTTTTTTTACGATATACTCGAGCGCTTTGATATGTGCTGTAGCAAGATCAGTAACATGTATATAATCACGTACACAAGTTCCGTCTTTAGTTTCATAATCATCACCGTAAATACTAATTTTAGCTCTTTTATCAAGTGCCACTTGAAGAATAATTGGTATTAAATGGGTTTCAGGATCATGATCTTCACCAATCTCACCACTTTCATGAGCACCACAAACGTTAAAATATCTGAGACAAACATATTTTAAACCATAAGCATTCTCTGACAAAGCGAGTATTTTTTCAACGATATATTTAGTGTCACCGTAAGGATTGATTGGTTCAGGTGGAGTATTATCTGCAATGGGTATTTTTTTTGGATTACCAAAAATTGCAGCGCTAGATGAAAAAATAAAATATTTAACATTATATTTCCTCATTATTTGAAGCAGATTAATTGTTCCCGCTACGTTATTCTCGTAGTAACCTAAAGGATCAATTACGCTTTCTCCGACAGAAATTGAAGCGCAAAAATTCATTACGGCATCTGGCTTATGTTTAAAGAATATTTGTTCAAGCGCACTTTTATCTTGAATGTCTGCTTTTTTCGAATATGACTCCTTTAGGAATTGACTTTATATGTCCCTTAGAAAGATTGTCTAGAATAATAATCTCGTAATCCGGTTGAGTCAAAAATTCTCGAACAACATGAGAACCTATATACCCAGCCCCACCGCAAATAAGAATCTTCATGGACTTTCGTATCCGTAATGAACCTTCAGCAACTGTTATTGTTATAATAAAGAATAATTAGCTATCTGTTCCGAATCGAATTGAAGGTTGAATTCAAAATTTAATACCTTCTGATAGCAAAGGGGTCGTTATAAGATCATAATTTGCCATATAATATCCCGCAGTGAATAATACACATATGATAGAGACAAACAAGAGTAACTTGTTTTAACTTAATGGGTTCGCCATATGATTTGGCTTTTTGTTTGAATGATAGAAAGAATACTTGTATAATTAGGAAGAAATGAACAATTTGACGTAGCTGTATGCTATTATAAATTATAAGGGAAAGTAAACACACCAAGCTCTATTGCCAATAAAGATTTATAAAATAATATTTATTTCTAAACTTTAATTCAAACCAACTAATTATACGCTTTAGCTATCCGAAAATGAAAAAAATGGGTGTTATTAATAATAATAAAAAAAAAAAACTTGTTTATTGCAGCTTTTTTGAAATAAGCGTTATTTTACCCACCGCCAATACACTAACGCTAATACGTATCGGTATTTCGGCGCACTGCAAATATAGTAATATTTACATACTGCATAAACTACTTAATTGTCCGAGTTCGAAATTTTACAAATAATAAATTACTAAATAAAGAAAATTCTTAGTCGTTAGAGTGTGTCGAATACATACGTACGTACGTACTTTTTATAAACGTTGCTCGTATCTTGCGGTCAAGAGTTTCAATTAAATAGATTTTAACACCATTCGATTCGTCTTGATAAGACGAATTGAATGGTATTAAAATCATTCTATTCAGACCATCATATCTCAAGATATTTCAGTGCACCTCATTACCTCCTGTGCCATAATACCCTACTTTCCCTTATAAACATTTTATGATT